TTGAGCTACATCCTAGTCCCTTTTAAATTTTTCTTTTGAGACAGTGTCTAGCTGACCTGTTTAGGCAGACCTCAAACTTGTCATCCTCTTTACCTAAGCTTCCCAAATAGCTGAGATCATACAGGTATGTGCCACTTCAAGCTGCTCCCCATTCTTGGTATCAGCTAAGTCAGTGAGCCCTATTTCCTAAATCTCTCTCTAGTTTAGCTCCTTTTCTTGATCTATCAGTACCCTAGCTACCAACTACTGTCTTGCCATTTTTATTATGTTTTTGTGAGACCATACAATTCCCTGCTCATTCCTGCCCCTTTGCATTCCCTTTCCCAGATGGGAGCCTTAGTGATTTGGGGGATATATAACTGTAGTTATGTGCACCTGCTTCAGCTGTTCTCATTGTTCTGATAGGAAAGCAAAGTTTTTACATGGTCCTTCAGATCTCAAATGCTTCACTGGACCTGTGAACTGTACCTGGTGATATTCTTGCCTGCTCTTGGTGTAAGTGCCCTCTTTTGCTCCACCCTATAGAAATACCTGGTGGTAATGATCTGCTTATTACAACAGTGAAAATTCTTAAAACACTAATAGTTCCTCCTGCATATTATCTGAGTCTCAACTTTTTGTCTTTGCATCCTGCATCTTTCTTTGTTTTCTTCCCAATCAGGAAAATCTGAGTACAGTGAGTCCCAAATGCATTTCTCTTCTGGAAGATTTCAGTGCTCATTTCCTGAGCATAGGAACTGGCAAAGGAGATGCTTTTAATCATAAAACTCAGGGAGATTGAGGCAGAAGGAATGCCATGTTCAAACTCTGTGCAACTCAGAAACTTGGTGAGACCCTGTCTCAAAATGAAAAATAAAAAAGGGCTGGAATGTAGCTCAGTGAGACTGCCCTGGGTTCAATCCTTAGTACTGGGGGTGGGATTAAGGAGAGAGTGGGGGTGAAAAAAAAATAAAAAAGAGAGAAAAATGCTTTAGTTTAGGACCAGGGATATAGCTCAGCAGCACAGCGCCTGCCTGTCAGGTGTGAGGTTGTATGAGTTCGATCCCTGATACAAAAAAAAAAAAAAAAAAAAAAGCTTTAGTTTTATTTACCTATAAAACATGATTAAGGGATTAATTTCCCTTTTATAGCTACTTTCTCTCAAGAAGGCCTTTAATTTCTTGCCTGCTGAGCTTGTTGTCTTCAATTGCTCTTCATTTTCATCAGTGCAAAAGCTGCCGATATTTAGATAAATATCACATTTTTTTTCAGTGACTTACTAGATATTTTGTTGTCATCAAATGTTTCTTATACTGTCTGATACTTTCCTTATAAAAATGTTTCTTTGTAAGCTTGGAGACTACTGCTCCAGTGCCTCAGCTATGCAGTAAGTTTTGTTTATTCTTTCCCAATTTAGAACTGTTAAAAACAATAGGTATTGAATGTGAGGGCTTAGTCATTACCTGCAGAGCAAGTTTGGAATACTGAAACATTTCTTATGAGCCTGTGCTATAAAAGATATTTATTAGATTTCATGTATATGTGGTAGCTTCTTCCATGAAATAATTGTGTAATGCTAAAGGAATAGCATTAATTCTTGATTTCTGGAATTTTCTCTAAATGTTTTGAGATACTTTAAGAACAGAGATGCTTAGACTTTTTCTTACAGTTGCTCATCTCGGTCTAGTACAAAGGGATGCATAGAAAAATGTCTGGAAAAATATATGGAACTATTATTACTCATAAGCTTAGAGACAGGAAGTCATTGAAAGATATGCTCTTTTCTCCCATTTACATACAGTACAGTACAGAGCAATCTGCTGTTACAAATGTTCCAAATACAGTGGTATGATATAGAAACTTCCTTATCATTTGTGTTGTAGTCTGCTGGTTTCTGTTGATGGTGGGGTAAGTTACTTCAGGAGGCCTTTTAAGGGAGTGTGCACTTGGGCACACACACAACTCTCCCTCCTTTTGTATTTCTACAGCTGAGTTCCTGGCACACCAGGAAGCACATAAGAAGCGGGAGTGGAAGGAAGCCCAGCAAACAATTTTGAAACAAATAGATGAAGCAGGTGTTGACAGTATCACTTTAACTTGCCATCCTTCCCCAGGAACTAGTTGCTATACCTTTCTGCACATGGGGTGGCAAAATGGAGTCTGTGTCAGGGTGGTCTTTTGCTTAAATAAAAGTCTTTTACTACAGAAAAAGAGAAAGCCAGCTGTAGAGAAAATGAGTAATCTGTCACAATATACTCCTAGATTTTCAAAATTTTTTACATATTGTAATTTTAGAAACCTCATTGCATTTTCCTGAGTAGGTGATATGTCATGATGCAAATTCAGAAGGCATAAAGGAAGTTTCCCTTTCTGCCTTAATTCCCTAGTTATATTTCATCTCCTTGGAAAAAATCTGTGTTACTCTTTATTGCTTTTATAATTTATAGTTATTAAACTTTAGTTAAATTAGTTTCTCTAGATCACAGTTTTCTTACATTTAAGATCCCTTGGTTTTGTTGTTTTCTAAGCGACTACCTTAAGTTTTCCAAAGTCAGGTACCATTTTATGTGCTCTTAATTTTCTTTCCTCTGGTAGGTACTGTAATTGTCATAGAATAATGGGTTAAAAAATGTTGATATCAACTACTTTACTCAGAATATCAATGTTAAAACTTACTAGTGGATGTTTTCAAACTGTTTTGTAAAGGGTCATATAGTAAAGGTTTTAGACTTTGTGAACCACTTGGTCTCTGTTAAAACCACACAACTCTACTGTTACAGAAGGAAAATAGTTGTATGTAAACGAATGAGCATGGCTGTGTTCTGATACAACTTTATTTACAAAATAGCAGATAGTAGACATTGGCCTGTAGGCCATGCTTTGTAGATCCCTGCCTCAGGGCCTACAGTCCTCTAGAAATAAGAATAAGCTTAGATTGTGGAACTCCATTCTCATGGGGCATGGAAGTGAAAGTTAGGTAGGTCAGTGCTGAGGCTTAGGATGTATTACAGTTTCTTTCTAATGTTTTATTATATTTTGTATTCTGCTGTCTTTATTCTCATATAAAAGGAAAATGTGCCTTTTTTGATTCTGGTATTACATTGTTATCTCATTTGTATCTCAGGACAACATGAAAATTAATTCTACTACTGTTTTTGAGGTAGTTTACAAATAAGAAAACTAAAAGTGTAAGAAATAGACCTGGTCCTTGAATTTGAGTGTTTGATTCATTGCTTGCATTATAATAGTTGCTTGCATTATAATTGTTGTAAAAGTGAAGGATTCTGTGAGACTTGAATAATAAGATTAGACTTTGTAGGTTATTGCATAGTGTGATGGTACAGATTAGAAAATTATTAAATTAGCAAAGAGATTGGAAGGAATTAACAAACCTCTCTAATTACATCAACCTCAGCTTTGCTATTCTGAGGTCACCTTTTCATGGAAGCCTGATAGAATTCCTGTTTGGGTTTGCAGTGCCCCATTCACATTTCCTTTTGTTATTGTTTACTATTTTTGTAATTCAGGTGACCGAGATCAAATATTGTCTTCTTCATGAAACCTTTCTGTATCATAGAACTTTGTTATATCATTTGTATTACTATTATGGCAGTTACCTATTTTAACTTTTTTTTTTGGTACCAGGGATTGATCAAGTTCCCTATGACCCCATGCTTGCCAGGCAGGTGCTGTACTACTGAGTTATCCCTGGCCCCTTAATTCTTCTTTGAAATACTAATTGTCTGCTAGGCCCAGGTTTTTTTCTTTTTCTTATTTATTTATTTATTGTCTTTTTGACACAGGGTTTTGCTATGCAGTTCAGGCTGACCTTGGGCTCACTTTGTAGCGCAGGCTGGTCTCGAAATCACAACGATTCCCTTGCCTCAGCCTCCCGAGTGTTGGATTACAGGAGTGCACCAGCATACCTGGCTTCAGGTTTTTTTTTTTCTCTACTAGATCACTTGTTGCTTATCCCCTAATATTCATTGTGTGCATTATAACTATTGTTGTAAAAGTGAAGATTCTGTGAGACTTGAATAATAAGATCAGACTTTGTAGGTTATTGTACTTATTAAGGTATATTTGATATAAACTAACATTTATTTAGTTTTATGAGTTGTGTTGTACATACACAACTGTGAAACCATTATGGCACTCACAATACTAAAAAAATATTTTGCTTTGTTTCTGGCAGTTTTAGGGATTAACCCTAGGGCCTTCACGTTGAGCACGTCCCCAGACTCCTCTTCCTCCTCCTTTTTTTTTTTTTTTTTTTTTTGTAATTTTGAGAAAGGATCTCTTTAAAATTGGGCTTGAATTTGTGATCTTTGTGCCTTAGCCTTCTGATGTGCTAGGATTACAGATGTGTGTCACACCTTGCCTGATTGCGATACCAAACATTTTTATCACTTCCAGAAGTTTCCACATAATTTGTGTAATCACTTTCCCTCTAAACATTTTCCATTGTACCCATGTAATCTGCCTCCTGTTATTGTAGCTTGGTTTGTACTTTCTGAAATTAGATATTAAAGGGCTTTCGTTGTATCCATTTTTTTTAGTCTTGCTTCTTTAACTTGATACAATTATTCTGTTGGCCCTGGTTATTTCATGTTACTAACTCATCTTTTTTTATTGATGCCTAAAATTCAGTTGCATGAATAAATCTCATTGTGTTAATCCAGTCACTTGTTGATGGCCATTTATATTGTCTCCAGTTTGTCAAGGTTGCAAGTAAATCTGTTACAAATCTTTGCATAGATCTACATTTTTACTTAACTTGGACAAACATTTAATAAGAGTGAACTGTTTGAATCATATGATGAGTATGTTTCTTTTCCCCAGAAACTGCCAAAGTCTTTCAAAATGGATGAACATTTTATATTACTACTCTAGGTTGTGACAATTTCATTTAATCCACATTCTTGTCAGTACTTGGTGTTTTCCGTCTTTTAGCTATGCAAATTGGTGTACAGTGGTGTATTAGTGTATTTCTATTTATGTATTTATTTATTTATCCCTACAGGTGTACTCCCCAATTCAATCTGGGCTGCCATAAAGACAGACAGAAAGTGCAGGGATTTTTCCTTTAGCATCCTAGTGCAAACCATAAGAACAACAAATTGTTCAAGGTCTATCAGTGGATGCAGCTTGGTGTATTTCTTTGACCATGATGTTGAACATCTTTTCCTGTGCTTACTTGCCATTTGTGAATTGTTTTGAACTTTTTAATTTTCTTTTTTGGTGGTATGGATAATCTTTGACCATTTTTTAAAAACTTCATTTGTTTTCTTATAATTGTGTTATTAAAATGTGTGCTCTATATATTCCAGATACAGTTTCTCATCTGATATAAGTATGCATCAGTATGCAACTTGCATTTCTGGGTTTTTGTGTGTTTGGGGAGACTGAAGTACTAGGAGTTGAACCCAGGGTTTTTGCACTGAGCTACATCCCCACCCTTTTTATTTTTTGACACAGGGTCTCCCTAAGTCGCAAGGTGCCTAGGCTGAGTTTTGACCTCCTATTTGCCTGCTGGGACCTCTCAGAGGACCAGGGTTACAAGCATGTACCACCATACCCAGCTCATTTTAGTTTCACTGTATCTTTTGAAGAGTAGACTTGAAAATTTTTGATGAAGTACAATTTGTTGATAACTTCATGGTTTGTATACTAAGAATCTGTTGTCTATCCCAAAATAACACATTTATTTTTCTCCTACAAGGCTTAAATTTGTTTTCAGTTTCATATCTTGAGTTAATTTGAGTTAATTTTTCTTTTTATTTTATGAAAAATAAATTATTACAACCAAATAATAAGAGAATAACAATAATTATTATATCTTTTTTTTTTAACTTTTTATCGGTTCCGGGGATCAAACTCATGACCGCCTGCTTGCAAGGCAGGTGCTTATGTCGCTGAGCTAAATCCCCAGCCCTAACAATAATTATATAGTTTATTGTTACCTTCAAAATAATTAGTATAAGACATTTATCTCTGGTGTGAACTGGGGTGAAGTTCATTCTCTCCTTCTTTTTTTTCCCCTCCCTCTCTCCTAAATGAATATCCAGTTGTTTCAGTACCATTTAGTTATTTAGTTTTAAATTTTATTTATTTATTTATTTATTTATTTATTGGGGGGTACTGGGGATTGAACTCACAACCTTGCATTTGCCAAGCAGGCACTTATGCGACTGAGGTAAACCTCTGGCCCTTTTACTACCGTTTATTGAAAAGTCACTTATTTCTCACATTGAATTGACATTAACAAGTTTCTTCATTTTTAAGTTCACATATTACAGATTCCTCATATTCAGGTATTTGTTGTTACTTGAAATCAAAGAGATAAGAAATCTTGTTTGGTTCTTTTTAGATCATCATACACTGGTAACTAATTTCTCCAAGTTGTAAGAATTAGATTTTTTTTCTGACTTTTCTTCTCCAATTCAACCATATCATTTTATTTTTAAGGTGTAACGCATAACATTGCTTTACTACGAGAGGTGATAATCAACTCACACTTTGTAAAAGGAGATTTCAGCACTAAATTTCTCTCTGAAGTGTATCCTGATGGCTTTAAAGGTTTGTATTATTGAAACATTTTAGTTATTTAAAATTATTTTTATACTTTATTGAATATATAAATTTTCCCATTTTGAAATTAAGGTCCTTTACTTATATTATTCTTGACTTATACATTTGGAGTATCCTAACCAATAGACAGACAATCATGTTTTTCACCATTCATATGTGATTTACTAATGTAAATAATCTGCAGTTTTGTTGAGTAAGGAATTCAACTGTGTTGAACATTCTGTGGGTTTAGTATATGGGCAAACATGTAGGTAGACCATTCTAAAACATGTAGAAGACCTAATTTTCTGGCTTCTGAAAGGCAAATCAGATTTATAACCCCTTCTGATATATGAGTATATACAGGATCTTCTCATATATATGTAGATGAAAATAATATTGAAAATTCCAGATAAGTAGAGGCTAGTCCTATCAGTTAAAATAAAGATAGCTAAGAAGACGATAGTTTTAATTTGTTAAAGTTGTAAATAAAAAAATGAGTGGAATGTGAAATTTAGCACTGGAAAATTGTCAGTGAGAGTTTCTAAATTGTAGAAAAATTGCTAACCAAGCAGGGGTGGTAGCACATACCTGTAATCCCAGCATTTGGGAGGCTAGGTAGGAGGATTGCCATGAGTTTGAGGCCAACCTGGGCTACATAGTGAGTTCAAAGCCAGCCTGAACTACATAGCAAGACCTTGTCCCTAAAGAAAGAAAATTGATCAAGTAAAAAACAGAGGACAACTTTTAGTGAGCACTGAAATGTGGCTAATGTATGTCATCAAGAAACCTACAGGACTTGCCTGAGGCTCCATTTATATGAGAAGGAAACCATAGGCCTCTGTATCAAAATCTAATGAATTTGGGAATATGTAGAGGTTACTCAGTCTTCCATTTATACTAATTTAGTATATTAAATGACTTACATAGTGACATTAGGAGCTATGTGTAGACTCATATAATTGAGCTGTTGAAAATAGTTTTTATAGTAAGCTTCTGAGATTAATAGGATTTGAGCTTTTTCCCCCATAACTTTAATAAAGAATTTTATCATTAGTGTGGAATTAAGAATGTCTTTTATTTGGGTTCCAAAAACAAAGACTAATGATTCTTTAGATTTTTTTCTTCTAAACCTTGAATTTTTAAAAATACAAAATATGTTCTTAACATGATTCACTGTTGTAGTTGTGTGATTATACATTAAATATCTCTTCGTTTCATGAGTTCAGAACCACATAAATCACTGCTTCTTGTGTCCCTAGCAACAAATCATAGTAGACACTGAAGAAACTTGTTGAAATAATGAAAAGAATCTTACCTGTAGTGTTGATGAGAAGGGAGTCTTTGGATATTTTTAATTATCTAGACATATACCCAACAAACAGTTTACTGTGCTCTGATCCTAGTGTTTTGGCCACTTGTCCTTTCTGAAGTTTAACTAAAAATTGTAACAAGTTTTGAAGTGAACTTGGGACTTTCATATGCTTTTATGTCTACTTGCCTAGTGTGTCTGTTAAGATAGCTTGATAAGAAATAGTAGGCTGCAGGAGAAAACAGGCAAAATCTTCAAGGAACCTTTAAAATCTATTATATGAGCTGCTAGTGTAGGAGAGAGATGATTAGTACTTACTGAAAAATAAAACAGTTAATGACATAAATTAGAGAAGAAAAACTTGATGAACTAAAAACCATGGTATTTAGGAGTAAATAAAACATTTCAGCGAAGTGAGAGATGGTCACTGCTAGGAACCAGATGAGTCATTCAGCATAATGGAAGAAGTTTCCCAAAAAATGCAATAAAAAGGTTAAAAACAGACTGGTCATGAAATAAGAGATACAGTAGGAAGATTCAAGATTTTGTATGGAAATGAATAAACAATAGGCATTTTGTGAAAAGAAAAATGAATAAATGAAGGATAACTTTAAAAGAAATAGGGAAATCTTTTATCCTTGTACTTCAGACAGCCTTGAGTGATGGGAAAACTCACTGAGTTTTAGAGAGGATTAATAGAAAAAAACTCCTGGATATATCAAGAACAAAAGACTTACAGCTTCTAGAAAGAAAGAAAAGTGATATGCAAAAAGTGTTCAGTGAAATCATCATCAAGTTATTATTATTTTTTTTATTTATTTTTTTTTTTACCGGTACCAGGGATCGAACTCACGACCACCTGCTTGCAAGGCAGGTGCTTATGCCGCTGAGCTAAATCCCCAGCCCCATCATCTTCAAATTATATGAATTAGAAGAGAATTGAAAAATAAGATGTGCATAGGAAAGAACTTGACTTAAGAGTACTATGCCTAAGATTCTTTATTAGTATTTTTTAGAAAATATTTTCAAATGAGTAAGTATTTAGACATATTTCAATATGTATACTATATTTATTCTGAGGAAATTGCTGAAGAAAGTAGCTAATTTTTAAGTTAAGATGATTGCTTAAATATGCACATTTCCCCCCAAACCCCACTAACTTGAATTTTTGAATACACAAGGCCACAAGGAAAGAGAATGTTAGAAAATGAAAAGCTGAAAGATGATTCTTTATTGACTTTACAACCTAAGAAAGTTGAATCACAAGCTGGGGGAAAAATGAGTCATTCATTATTACTGCAGAATCCTAGTTTATGTTCACATTTGCAAAAAAGGATAGGAAGAACGTGAAATTAAATACATACTGTACCTTAGAGTTCTAGGTAACCATGGTTGCTCAGTAAGCGAAAGAATTTGCTGCCCTACTGGGACTTACATTGTAGAGGTTGGAAGTCAGCATGTCTTCTCAACTCCCTTCATGGCACCTCCAAAGGTTATTTATGGATGAAAAGTAAACGGAGTACCTTTGTCTTCATTAGTCTGGAGCCTAGAATGTAATACAGATGTGTTTCACTTAGCACCAGGCTAGCACACTATCAGCACGGGGGAAATAATAGAGGACTTCAAAGGTAGTCCAAAGCCAGAGATGCACTTCTACTATCATTAGCACACCAGAGGACATACAGGAGTTAAGGTCACTCTGATGTGTGATCAGGAATCGCTTTATGCTAGAACTATTATAAGAATTTGTCAGCTGTGATAAGTTGTCTTATAAATGAATACTTCTTGAAGTAGAGAGTCAGTAAAATGATTTAAATTGATATGCATTGTATCAATTTGCCCAAGAGATGTGATTGAGTGATGGTCAGTTTTATTTGGAAAATTAATTTGTTGGCATTGCTCAGTCAGTGCACTAGCAGCTGATTAGAATAAGTGACATAGTAGTTTGCTGTTAAAAGAGTTTTGCAGTATTTTGCCTTTTCTCCCACTGATGATGTTTTGTGTATATGTATATGAAAACATGCATGTATTTTGACTGAATCACTGGAAGAGATATGTTTATATCCTGAATTCAAGAGTATACACACACACACACACACACACACACACACACTTTCCATGAAAAGTATTATATTGAAAGTCCTCTGATAATTTCTCTTCCATAATTTGATAAATATGAGTCTGAAACAGTTCTTTTTGAGAGTGAGATCCTGGCTTGACTGATCTTGAAGACTTACTTTGGGCAAGCCCCACCTTATTCCTTGTACCAGTCTCTTGAGGAGAAGGGGAGGAATCCAGGATTTAATCAGGTGATTTGGATGCCCAGTGACTTTTAAGGAGCACTGATCTTTTAAGTACTGGGAAGCAGAGCTGGGGATTTAGCTTAGCAGCATAAGCACCTGCCTTGCAAGTGTGTGCTCATGAGTTTGATCCCCGGTACATGACCAAAAAAAATTACTGGGAAGCTTTCTGATTATATCATATGATATTTGACATTTAATAAACCACGAAATGTTTATTTACTAATTCACTTAAAAAGTAATGACAGTTAAAAAAAGTAATGATAGTTAATCTGTTATGTGATATACATCAAAATATGTGTCCTGGGATCTGGGAACCTCTGCAGTACATGCCTGAGAAAATGGGAGTTTAAAAGTAAAACAAAAAAGCTAATAAATCTTATTATTAGAAAAATAGTTTTAATATTGCTGGCCCATGAAGGACTCCCAAGGATCCTCAGTCATCCATGGACCATACTTAGAAAACTTTTCTTCTAGACTATTTTGAGATGACTGGAACCCAATTTCTATAATACTCTAATATAGAGTAGTTAATTATGGAATCATGTGGAATGTCTTCATCACTGCTACAGTGTGAGAAGAAAGTCAGGAACTTCCAAAGATTTTAAGAATGTGGTTTACTAGCCACCTAGAGGGGCTGTGATTAAATTTCCAGAACCAGTTGGCAGATCCCACATTTGTGCTTTAGTTTATATAGCCTCTAGGTTTGTCTCAAAGAAGATTGGATTACTTAAGTTTTCCCTACCCCTAAATTTCATGAAGTGCCTCACCATATAGAAACATGTGCTGCAGATCTTTTGCAGAAAATATTTATGTGTTAATTTTAAATATTTATGTTTATATTTTACTTTGAGTTATTTTTAGATATAATGTCCAATTTATTTTAAATAAGTTTAACTACCTGGATTTTTTTCTCTTTTTGAGTTTTGTAAGTAGCATCTTACTGCTGATGATCCAGGCTTCAAATTTCTTCTACTGTGCCATTTAATACTGTGCTGTCTTTATGGATCACTGTGATAAGTAGTATTAGAAACTGTGATGTGGTTACAGAGTTCTGGAGGGATATGTTAACCTGCAGACCCCGGAGTGCCCAAATTCTGCCTTGATTCACACCCACTTCTCAAGGAATTCTGCAACTGGAGCAAGTTTCCATCGCTGCACAGCACTCCTCCACACTAGCTGGTCTTCCCAGGCCTTGCTAGGTTAGTCGTCTGTACCTGGGTCAGCAGCATTATGATGGCAAGAGAAAACAAGGGAAAGAAATTTGTTGCTTGGTTGCTCAGGGTTCAAGCCTTCACAGAGGCAAGAGAAACACACCCTTATTTTCTTTGAATCTTTTGCACTAGACAACATGGCCTTGTTTATGCCCTTGAGCAACATCACTCCTCTTCTGCAGCCATTGGCACTTCTGACCCTCTACTTTCACTTCCTTAGAAGGAAAATTTTGGGTGAGAAAGATAATGTGGGAGCTGAAGTTTTTCCTAGAGATCTCTATAGGTATGACTTTCATGTTTATAAGTGTTTTTTCTGTGTATGTATTTAAGATCTTCTTTCGCAATATATCATCTTATTGAATAGTCATGTGCTACTGACTCCTGTACCTCATACAGTGCCAACTTCATAATAGGTTCCTGACAAGTCACTTGTTTGAATGGGTTATAGATTTATAAGATAGAACCACCAATGTTAATATTATATATGTGGCTTACTAACTGTTTGACTTCCCTCAGGACACACATTAACAAAGAGTGAGAGAAACCAGTTATTGGCAATAGCATCATCATTGTTTGTGGCATCCCAGTTACGAGCACAACATTTCCAAGGACATTCAAGGTATGGTAGATCCTGTAAAACAAAATAAGTGAGCAAAAAATATTGGTAATCAGATCTGCATATGAAATAATAAAAGATTGGATTGATTTCAGATCTTACATATCTTTGGAGAAGTATAATAGTTACACTGTTTAAGTATGATATTACATATATATTGTGTTCAGACAACATTTTTAAATTCAGAAAGGAAAAAAGAATGAAGATCTCTAATTCAAATGTTAATAGGGATAAGAAGATATTTTGATATCTGGTGAGAAATCCAATTAAGTACTTTGTACTATTTCTGTTTTGTTATGAGAATAAGCCTAGGCAGATTATCTCTGTCTCTGTCTGAAACTGTTAAATTTAAAGAAGGAATTAACACCATGGGGCTATTTATAAGCCCTGACTATAACTTTTAGCTTCCAAGTGACCCAGGGGAAAGGAGAAACATGCCTTATACCAAGGTAAGTGAAAAGAAAATGTCAGTGACACTCATGGTTCAAAGTTACCGGATTACTTATTAATAATTTATTTATTACCCAAAATGTGTAAATGCTATTGTAAAAAAGAGAGCAAAAGAAAGTGCTCCAAGGGATACAACTGCAAGTGTGTTTAGGTGTGTAAGATGGATGACCATATTACTAAGTTTTTCTTGAATCAACTGTTTGCAATCTCACTGTTTGAATGTCTACTTTGTATGCTTTAATTTTGTAACTTGAACAACTATTTCTAAGATGACAATTGATAGGATTATTTCCAAAAGATGTGAAGTATAAAACAAAGAGGAATTTATTCTGAGAACACAGAAAGAACCAACACCCCCGACCGCTGGAGTCCGGCTTTCTGTCTGGCAGACATGGGGCGTGGGGGTATATAAGTAGCCTAAGCTTAGGGTAGTGCCCTAGGGTCATTAGAGATGCACAGGTATCTCATTGGTACACGTTTGGCGCCAGGGGCAGATTCCTAAGGGGGGGGAGGATAGAGTCACAGGTAAATCCCTAGAGGCGGGGGAGATAGGAGCTTCCTGGTTCTGGCTGAGGTTTTCCTGGCTACAGTGTCCCGTCTTGGCCAAAACCCTTTCACCAGTATGTAATCTATTAACTGGTGATTTCTTACTGTTTATTTTTTTTTTTTTTGAAATTCTGTTATTACTTGTACCCATTTACTGTTTTGTTTTTTTTCTTTAAATAAAATTTTTTAAAAAATTATTTATTTATTTATTTATTGGTTTATTGGAACTTGCTATAGTAATACTTGTGAGAAAGTCATGCTACTGATAACATTATGGTACTTCTATTGCTTTTTTCTTGCTTTTCCACAAGAAAAAGAACAAAGACTGAAAAAGAAAAAAACTGGAAAGGGTTGACTAAATAGCTCTGAAAAGCACAAACTAGAAACTCACATTATTCCTGAGGAAGCAAGTAGAAGAGAAACCCAACTGAATTTAGGGTTACACGAACATCTTCAGGGCTACTATGCTTTATTTATTCTGTTTCTCAAAAAAAAGTACAAGAATCTTAGTGTGCACTTTTCTAAAATGTTTTGGTTTGGTAGATATCCAGGGAAAAATGAAAGTATGCCAAATATTAGTGAATTACTCAGTGACTGGAAGGAGGACAAAAATGATCAGTTTCACCATGAATCTGCTGGTTGTTTTTCTTTTGTTTAAAAAAGTAAAGAATGAATATTTCCAGGCAACAGATAGCTCCTTGCCACAGGTGGCTATTAAAGTAAACTAGAAGCCAGTGAAGGTTCCCAGGTTCACAGTGAAGTAACCATATTACAAGTACTTAATAACCACATGTGGTTAGTTGGCTATGTTTTGGTAAAATACAAAGAACCTTTTCATCATGAAGGCTCTATTTCCACCAAGGTTATTGAACATGTGTGCTGAAGCAGTCCTAGCTTTGGTTTTGGAACCTGAATTTCATACTTTACATTATTTTTGTGGTTCTTCTGATGAATACAATTTCTCTACCATGATTGCTTTACTTTCAGTTATTTGAACCTTTCTTATTTCAGAAGTTGTAAGTATAGCTAAAGATAAATTGATTTGATTTTTAAAATACTGTATATTTTCACAGGGTATTGACTTACTCCAGTAAGAATCTGAAAGATAAAGGGTAAAAATTACCTGTTATCCTACAGTTCTTCAGTGGTCACTTTTAACACTTTGATATACTCATTTCAAAGTATATAAATATTTGTAGTGCACATGCATGTAATAGATACATTTTACATAATGAGATTCAGATTGGGAATATAGTTTAAATTTTTCAAAAATTATAAATATTCTGCACGTTAAGTGTTTTTGGAGACATTTTTAAAGTTTTAATTATTACAGAGAATTTTACACTTACGAAAAAAACTCCAGAATATACTTAAGTCCTCTTATACTCATTACCCAGCTTCACAGCCATAAAAAAATGCATCTCCCTTTTTTCATCTTTATCTCTGCTTACTCTTCGCTTTGCTAACTTGTTAATTATTTCAGGTAAAATTTAAATGCAAGCGAGACAAATCTTACCTGTATAACTTTAATAAATGGATGCTCCTGTGTAACTCATGTCTATCTATGAAAGTGCTATTTCCATAGTCCCAGAAAGCGTACCTTTCATGTTTACTTTTGGTGCCACTTTTAATATATTTTTTTTCTTTCTTTCTTTCTTTTTTTTTGTACTGAGGATCGAACTCATGATCTTGTGCTTGCCAGATAGGCGTTTATGCCACTGGGCTAAATCCCGGCCTCTGTATTAACTTCATCTTCCTTTGTGTTTTGTTTTGCGTAAGTTTTCCCTAAAATTATATATTTAATAATTGTTGTATTACTAATTTTAAATATCTTATTTTTAAATTATCTTTTGGAAGTTAGAAAAATCCTATTAATGAAATATATATTAAAATTTCAGTTATACAGATTCTGTGTACATATTTCCTACAACAAATTTTTGTTGAGTTGATTTTTGGTGAATTTATTTTCTGTTGAGCTTATCACTTATTGAGTAGGCCAGGTTCTTGTAAAATTAATACTACCCATCGTAGCAGGAATCTACAGTATCCAACAAAATATATTTGATCTTTTGGACCAAATAGTTTTCTTAAAGTGTGAATATTGTTATTTTTGCTTGCTTGCTAAAGAGTTCTCTGAAACATACTTCATCACAGCTGATATAAGGCATTTTAATCCTTACAGTTTAGCTTCTGAGTTGTGTCTTTATAATTGGATTGGGAATGGATTTTAGGAGTCAGCCTGCAGGTGTGGTTCCACAGTGCTGTGTTGTGGGTGTATTCATGTAATATTTTTGCTTTCAAACCAGTAGCCCACAGTCTTTCCTCTGTTTTGCTTGTTTTGGCTACTGATCTTATTCTCTCATTTTCTCTGTGGATTTTACTCTTTCATCATTTATGATTTGGAAAAAGACAGTAATATGCAACCACAGTATTTAGATAGTAAAATGATAGTAGTGCATTTTAGGAAAAAAAAAAGAAAAGTTAATGCAAAAAGAATAGCAGTTTTTCTTCGAATGACTATAAAGTAAATTTGGTGGGTATGTTTTTTACATAAATGCTGATTTAAACTGTGGAGTTATTTTTCTTTATCATCATTGTTTTCTATGCTTAGGCAGCACATATACTATAATCATTCTTTTCCTTAGTGCTTGGGAGCTTGAGGTGTGGCTCAGTGATAGTGTGTGTGCTTAGCATACCCTTTGGCGTGAGTCCCCAGCAGCAAAAAGAAAACATAGATACACCCTACAAAAAATAACTTTCATCTGACTAGAATGATTTGTTGGCATTGTGATTTGTTTCACTAATTGATAATAAAAAATTAATAAAGTCAGTAACATTTTAGGCCTCTCAGTAATCTTTATTTTTGTTCAAATTTCCTCTTTTCCTTAAATCTGAATAGTTATGGATCAAGATTGACCTTTCTGAGAAGGATTATCCCTTACCTAGGCTCAAGTCACTCCCAGTCGCTCCAGGCTTCTCCTACCCCAGTCAGAATGCCATTATCTGCCTTTACTAGATTGCTTTACTTCTTCCTTTCTCCATTGTTTTTCCTGTAATTATTCCATTCTTTTGTTAAGTTTTGTAGATCATTTCTAGTGTTGGGCAGGCCAGTTTTCCAATAGTGGAATGGTCAGTGCACAAATCTCTCTTCCTTAGTGGAGGGCATACTTTGAAAGTTTCAAGAATTAGGCAAGGGGTAGGGCTCAGAGTAAGCTCCCAAATCCCTTTTATAGGTCAGTCCTTAGGGCTGAGCCATGATGTGGTGGGCAAGGCAGTGTTACCTGTTTTCATACATTAATTGTATTTCAAGGTGTTTAAAAGTAAATGTTGGCTATAGGTTTTATGAAAATATTTTTTGTGAATGTGTAGTAAATACCTTAGATTTTCTTGCTTCAGTTGCTTCTTTTACCCTTTATACTTCTCCAGAGATGTGTAAGTGAATAATTTAAAAACTGCCAACATTTTACTCTTCAATCCATTCAAAATTCATCTACGAATATTGATTGATAAGTAGAGCTAAGGGTATTTATGGGGTTTTTTGACAGTAAAAACCACTTTATAAAATTTACCATTTTAACCATTTCTAAATGTATCCCAGTAGTGTTAATTATATGTGCATTGCTTTGCAATAGATCTCTGGATCTGTTTAAACTCTACATTAGTTGAACACAACTAATTCTAGTAACTATCATTCAAATCCCTGTTTCTTTTTTCTTTGCTTTCTTTCTTTTCTTTTTTTTTGATTTTTTTTGAGACAGGGTTTTGCTATACATTTCAGGCTGGCCTTGAGCTGACTTTGTAGCCCAGGCTGGTCTCAAACTTGCAGCGATCCTCCTGTCTCAGCCTCCCAAGTGCTGGTCTAATCCGTGTTTCTCAGTCTAGTTTAGTATTTATATATCCTTTATAATAAATTTGTTAAATTTAAAAGTCAAATATGATAACTTTTCATTAGGTTTGTAAAGGAGGAAATAACAGCCTCCCAAATTACTTGGGAGCTTCTGGGTACA